AGCAATATTTGGCACGTTTAATGTGAAAATCACTCATCATGTGTAACTCCGGGAAACAATAATCACATGCATTTATTTATTAACAGGCATGCTCCGTCCATCACATCTACACTCATGTCTGCATTAAACGGTGTAGAAACCGAAAAAGAGGACAGCCAGCCTACCATCGGAGCTCCATGAAAAGCACACTTAACCCCAGTACCCTATACAGCACTTCAGACGTACCATCCTGACATCTTAAAATGGAAAAGAACCAAATAAACCAGTGATTAGCAAGCTGGCTAAAAAGAAATACCACGTAAGACATCTCTGGAATTCCCTGGAGGCATAGTCAGCCTCTATTAGCCGTGGAATAAAAGTGGAATTATTATCATAGTGTATATTTTCTCATCAACGGTGTTAAAATAAAAAATTCATAGGTGATAAAGATTTTACAGCACAGGGTAAGAAATATTTCCCTGGAGATTGGTCAATACTTAAAGTTATGTCTTGTGGTCCTTTTTCAGATGGACCATAGTAATAAAAGACAGCAGTAAAACAAAATGGTGAAGAAAATCAAGAAATAATAAAAAAATGAGTACAAAATCCGAATGAAATAGTAATGGAACTAAGTAAATGTGTGCACAAGTTTGATTTATAGTTTCTTGAGCTGAGGTGTCTCGCACTTTTGATCAAGCCATGTTGAACTTAGGTACCATGCAACCCTGTCTAAAAACAATGTATCTACTGAATAACACATAATAAACTTAGATTACAGAAGTGGAAAATCTACCTTAAGTGTCCATTGAGTGTGTGTGGATGTATTTCACTCATATGAATAGAATAGATTTTCATCTATTCCAGATGGCTTCATATGACAAGTTATATGAAGTATATGTTCCCAAAGCCTTTGCTGTGAACTCAGTGAAATATTTAATAGTTATTGTTTCCATGTTAAACATGACATTTTATAATGCATGGTTAACCTTTGGTTTGTTCTGCTCAGATGCACAGACTCAGCTAAGGCCACGCCTGGTGTGTTACTGCCACCCAGAGGTCAAAGTTGGTATAACAACTTTATTAGTTGCACCCAGCGCTATCTTTTAAACTGTCCTGCAGTAGGCCAAATCCTACCTTTATGAAGGTTATGATGTTCAGTTGTTTTTAAACTTTTACAGAAGTGATGATTAACTTGACAGTAATTTTAAAGGCTGCCGTTTGTTGTGCTGTTGTATTGTGATATTTGTATAATAAGAGGCGTTTGTATTATTATCTCTATCCTTATTGTTATGAATAGGGTGGGCCAAAATGTTGAAGACCCCTCTTTTTATAATATGAGATAGTTTAACAGCACCACACTGCAGCGGTCAAAATTTCCATTAAGTTGACTCAACGGCTCACTAAATCATCAAGGCTATTTTAATAGACTGCAGTTTATTAGCTAGGTTACCGTGTACTAATAAACTAGAAACTAATTTGATAGGGCTAACTCTGAGTCTGAAGAGTCAGTCCTCAGGGTTCACACACTTTTTCAACAATGATTTTCAATGACTTTTCCATGACCGTTACCTAATTTTCCATGACCAAAACAATTACTCTTTCTCAGCGGTACCACTGAAAATGGTTTATTTTAACATGGAACAGGAACATAAGGTCTGCATATGAAACATGTTGGTCCTATCTAAAACAAATCAAATAGTAGGCTTACTAGCTTCTACACGCTAAAGTAACTAAAATCTCTCACCAGCAAAATACCTCGTCAGTTAAATGCCATTTTACGTTTCATTACTACCATACAGTATGTATTATCATTATAGTCAGGGCTGCACATAACTGGTGCGCATGCGCACCCGCCGCGAAAAAAGGAGCACCGGATCATTTGAAAAAAGGCGCATTTGCGCACCAACATTGAGAGAGAGAGAGATATTTGCGAGTTGCATATGAACTGGTAAGATAGCAGGGTTTCCCACACATAGACTTTAGCTGGGCGGGCCACCCAGGTATATTAACGGCCGCCAAAGTATAATTCGTAAGCCGTTTAGGTTTGATTTTTTTAATCCGTCCGCGAGCACGACGGCATCTGTCGATCCCTCGCTCTACCCCCTCGCTATCGTGTGAAGGGTCTGCTTTATGCACTCCGCACAGTAACCCTGCTGCGAGGCTCCGGTGAACAGTCCATGAGCGTGCTCACTAGCGCAACTCCCCCCCCGTTTATAAAGTCAAGTACCCCTCAAAAGGTCCGGTTTATTTCATTTTAAGGATGCGCACCAAGCAACATCTCCAGGTGCTCCTTTGAGAACCAGTGCAAAAAGGTTGTGTGCACCCCTGATTATAGTATTACTATTTCGGCGATTAGATAAAATATAAATTATATTTGATGCAACTTTAGTTACATTTCCATGACTTTTCCAAAACCTTGGGAAAAATATTGTTTTCCATAACTTTTCCAGGGCCTAGAATTTGCATTTTGAATTTCCATGACTTTTCCAGGCTTTTAATGACCGTAAGAACCCTGAGTCCTGTCAAATTGGTTCTACTCGGACACAAGTACTTAACTTGCATGGATCCCAATCATGACTAAGTTGTATCTAGGCTATGTACCTGCAGAGCCGGCCCGACCCATTAAGCGACATAAGCGGCCGCTTAGGGCCCTGCAGCCACGAAGGGGCCCCCTAGCAACAACAAATAAATAAAAAATAGCTAGCAGCTAGTTTCTATTATGAGATGGACAGCCAGAGAGAATAAATGAAAAACAGTTATGAAATACTATATGACAAAACAAGAATACAGTTTAAGTGATTTGAAAAATATCCATAAAAAAAAATCTGCTTACAGTTCTGTTTCATATGGGTGTTGAGAGATGTATCCATATATCTCTTAATTTTGTTCTCAAAGTGCACCAGATTGATGCTTTTAACTTCAATATTTTAAAAAAAAATCTTCCCAGGGGAGCATGCCCCCGGACCCCACTAGAAGAGGTGAGGGCCCCCTTAGAGGAGGTTAGGTCCACGGTGTTTACATGCTTATTTATACAATATGTGTGCTTATGCTAACATCATAAGACAAAAGTTGGTTCCGTGTTGTGTGTAGTGAGAATGCGCTAGAGTGAGGGGGGCCCCCAAGCCAAAGCTCGCTTAGGGCCCCCAAAAGTCTAGGGCCGGCCCTGTGTACCTGACATTCGAAAACAGGTTTACATTACTAAAGCTATGAGCACAGCTTAAAAAAAAAGAGACTTAACAAGAATTAAAACTTTTCACAAGCGACTAACAGACCAGACTCATTGACAAATCACAGTCACCAGGGCCCAGGAGTTCAAAACTTTTAATCTCAATCAGATCCGATCAGATTTTGAAATCCCATTGTTTGTGATCCAGGATCAGACAAGTCGGCCAAATGTTGTCCCTGGAGTTCAAAGCAATTCAGGATAGGATCAGCCTGATCCAGATTACGATTTTTCAAGATGACTAGATCCTGAATATCAGTGCTTTAATCCTACCAATCGCCATCTAGTGGACATGAAAAATAATACAAGGAAGACAAGAGACCACATTGCAGAGACATCTATAATGTTTAATTATATTTTTAAATACATAAAGGACATCAAATCATAATGAAATTGTAATTTAAAAAAATACTCCCACTAGGGTAACAACAATAAAACATTCATTTAAAGGCAGCTGGATCATCCAGGCGTGCTTTGAGGAGCTGAATTCTCAGTGAGGTTTCAGTTTGCTGAAGCCGGCACAGCTGTATTTGTTCTTCGGCCAGACGGATCTGCATCTCTGCCCTTTCCGTTTCACGGCTCAGCAGAGTCTCGTAGGCATCACCCCTCTGCTCTGGTTTTCTGGTGCGCTTGCATTTTATCTTTAGAGGTGGCTCTTGCAGTGTGTCATCAGGCCTGGCTGAAGGTCCAGCTTCTGGATCCACATGGGTTAGGAGGACCTCATCTTCAATGGTGTGTGTCACATCAGGTGCATTGACGACCTGAAATGAAAGTTTATCAATATACTTTATACCCCTTAATAAGATGATCACAAGCATGCAAGCTCCTGGAAAATGGTAGTACTAGGATGCTATGTAAGACATATAGCCATTGTAGTACTATGAAAATAACAATTATACAAGATAATAATTGTAGTTCTATAGGGACAAGGATAAAATCACACATACCTGCGACTCACCATCCAGTACAACGTTTGGTATTCCATGTAAAGATTGTGACTGCTGACCACCAATGATATCAAGTACCACATCTGTGTATTGTCCCCTTTTATATGGTTTGTTACCCGTCTGTGGGTTTTTAGCCTGGCTGTGGTCTTTGGTACTGTAGCTTGCTGCTTCAAATTCTTCCACCTCAACCTCACTTGGTCCACCGTCCTCTTGTGTCCAGATCCTGTGGCATTCACATTGTCTGTGACTTCCATCCATATTCCGCTCTTTACTTTAGTCGCTCCACCCTCTCTGTTAAAGCTACCAACTATGGAGTCATAATTGTTCCTTACACCCTGCAGCAGTGCATGGGTCTCAGCAGATGTAAAATTAGGCCCCTTTTTGTCCATCTTTCCAACTCAATGGTTTGGTCAGGTCAGCAATTAGTTTTATAGGTCTGGCCTTGCTATTAATTACATAATTAACCACAGGCCCTAACCAATCTGGACATGCATTCCAGGTGTGTATTTGCAATTAGTTGTTATTCAGAGACTAATGTAGGCCTACTGACTGAAACCACAGTCAGAACACAGTCATGGCAGGGATTGTTCACATCTTCCATGCTGGAAGGAGAGGTTACCGCCAAAGGGTCCACACTGAGCACCCCAAACCTCTCCAACAGTATACACAACAGAAGAACTGTACAATCGTTTTCGATTTGGACTTGATGACATCAACAACATTGCTGATCTGGTCAGGCCACAACTGCAGTGCAGAACCTTGCGGAGTCATGCTCTGACTGTAGAGGAACAGGTCCTCATTGCCCTGCGCTTTTACGCATGTGGAACATTCTATGAGGTCATAGTGACAGCATGGGAGTCCACAGGACAATAGTGGGTGAAGTGGTGACAGCTGTGTCTGATGCACTGGCTCGCCTGCTGGATCACTTTGTGACTTTTCCCACTGATGGCCAGATTGCCAAAGTGAAGCAGAAGTTTTTTCTTCTGGGAGACATGCCCAACACCATTGGGGTGATCGACTGCACCCATATACATATTCAAGCACCTCGTCAGAGGGAGTGGGAATATGTCAACAGGAAAGGGAGGCACAGCATCAATGTGCAACTTGTGGGAGATGCTGACCTTGCCATCACCAACTGTGTTGTGAGATGGCCTGGGTCAGTCCACGATGCACGTATCTTCAGAGAGAGCCGGTTGTTCACTGAATTCCAAACCAACAGGCCGGATGGAGTTATATTAGCCGACAGTGCCTACCCACTCCTACCATGGGTGATGACACCTTTTCCCACGGCCAACACTCCCTCACAGATGCGCTACAACAACGCCCATGGAAGAACAAGGTGTGCCATTGAGCGCTTGAATGGAGTACTGAAGAGGCGTTTTGCTTGCCTCAACTATCTGAGAGTGGAACCCCAAGGAGCATGCCAAATAACACTGGCTTGTATTGTGCTACACAATATCGCTGTCCATCGCAGAGTCCCCCACTCTGACATCGATGATCCCCCAGAGCCCCTCGCACCTGCTGATGATCGAGGATTCTAGGCCCACCTATGGATTTCCCTCTAAATGAGAGACTGAGTGGTGGTGCAAGGTGAGATGCTATTGTCCACAATTACTTTTGAAAGGTGATGACAGATGATGGACTTTTTTTTTGTTGAAGATATTTTTTCATTAATCTAAATTACATTTGTGATTGACAATCTTTGCTGTGATACTTTCATGAGCATAAACATTTATGTCATCAACATTTGGTTAAAAACAAAATAGGCCACCACAAACGTGAGCAAAAATGAAAAAAATAAAATGTATTTCCCATGAAGGCTAAAAAGTGTGTATTATTTCAGTTAACAAACGTTGCCATCTTATTTAAATTCAAACATATTTTAAAATAAATTGTACAGTACATTTTGCTCTGGTAATCCACTGGAAATCCACCCCTCTGGTGGGATCAGGATAATCCAGTTTTTTGGGATCAAACTGAACCCAATCATGTGTTGTCGGTTTGAACTACCCATTTTGAAGATTTGATCCAGATTAAAGCTTGGATTGGATTTCCTGATCTGATCGGATATCAAAGTGATCCTAATCCTGTTTTTTGGTTTTGAACTCCCCAAAATCCAAATCTGATCTGATCAGATAGGGATTACAAGTGTTGAACTCCTGGGCCCATGTGACTGGATAACCAATAAACTGGATACAGAAATCCAAAGCCTTCCCAGTTTACTGTGTAATGTTTCCAGATGACCACATACAGTAAACATCAACAAGCAACACAGCAAAGAGTTTTAAAACACAGAAAGCCAAGCACACATTAAACCAGCGACGAAAGAAAGATCATAAGGGATATCCGACTCACCTTTTTGACGCTGAAGACCCTTCCAACTTGCTTTCTTTCATCGTGGTGAAGTAAAGTTGTCCATGTTATTCCCAACTGCACTTTTCGCAGGGGTTTGTTGCAAAGTATTTTGTATTAGTACTAGCTAACTAACGGACTAGCTCCCAAAAGCACATTAGCTAATTTTATAGCAAAACTGTGAAACCTACTTTAGCTAGTTAACTCTCGATTAACTTAGCCTATATTAGCTTTATAATGTTAACTTTCTTATGTTGTGACGTCCGAGAATGGGTGGCTATGCTTCACAGTTCAATTTAGAACTGTACATTCACATTTTATTCATGCAACGGGACCGCATGCGATTGACAAACATTTAAAAATTCACCCGGCGTCTAGTAGTTGACAGTTAAACTGCATTGTCATCTTTGACCACACGGGCAGTCCAGGGACCACACCTGTAGACCCGCACCAGCTGTGTTTTCCCACAGTCCCGTTTTGTTTATTGTTTTGTTTCCACTTTAGAAGTGAGGTATTTCCTTTCCTTTTGTATAGTACTGGGCAACTCTCTTTTGGAGACCCTTTAGTGAGATAGTGACAGATTGACCCGTTGTTGGGCCAAGCTGTTTGTGTACATCATTTACACAGTTGCCGTTACAAATAAAACCACCGGTAACATATACCAAATCCAATCTGGTCGTGTCGTTTCCCTTTTGTATCCCTAGACAAGAGGGAACGTAACAACTAGTAAAGTAAGAGTAGCTATATTTAAAAAAAATAGGCTTCAAAGCTACACGTAAAAGTCCTAACATCGTACTACAGTAGGCCTACTAGCATGAAAGTCGCTTACACATTTATTTGCTTAAACATACTTTTATAATTAGTGAAACTGGTGTATCACTTTAATGTTCTGGTAAGGTGGGGACACATTTATTATCATACACTGCTGGGTAGCTTAACCTTTTAATAATTAGGGGTGCACCGAATGGGAAATTCTTGGCCGAAACCGATACCGAAAATAGGAAACAGTTGGCCGAAAACCGAATGCCGAAAGGCCGAAAATGATTAATAGAAATATATATATAATGTATATACATTTTTTACCAATGTTGTTCTGATTATGGAAATAGACATGATTATGGCAAAACTTAACTTAAATAATAATCACTATTATGGGTCCATAAAACATTTATTCAGCACTTTTGAATGCATACAGTACATTTATATATGTCATGTATTATTGCTAAAAAACATTATATCGCAGTCTTAGTGTCGCCAACTCGTTTCTAATATGCAAAGACAACAAATGCGTCTATGATGTATTTTCGATCAGACGAGATCTCTCTCCCCCGTCTGTGTGCGAGGGGGCGGGGCAGTTTACGCACACGCAGCTGCTACATGCAGCGGAGCACACTGCGGAGATGGCGGGGAGAACGCGCTCCGAGGTGTGGTTAAACTTTACCCGTCTCGATGTGGAGAATACTTGTTACCATAAGTGCAATAAGAGTTTAGCATGTAAGCACGAGCAATTTGTCTAAACATTTAGCAAAAGTGCACCGCATGCAGACGGAGGAATGTACCGGGTTCGACCGTCTTTCTAGCAGCTCTGTAGCCCCATCCACGAGTAACGTTTCCACGTCAGGTGTTATGTATGCTAGCAGCAACACACAGAGTTAACTCCATGATACAAACATGGGTTAATGATTAGAGGAAACTGAGTTATTTATTTAGTTAAAATTTCAGCTATTCTGTTTACAGTCTGTCATCAGATTATTTAATACGATTTGTTAAAGGCTCAGGGCAATCTCGATGACAAAGGTCAATGTTCCCCCCCCCTGTGAGCCAGCCGCGAGCATGGTCGCCGCGTCTTTATTACGTCATCACAACGTTAGTTTACCAACGTAAGCCTGTTCTGACATTCGGTGATATTTTTTCGGTGCTAAAACCCTTTCGGCCGAAAGCCGAAAGGGCCTTTTTAACCATTTTCGGCCGATAATTTTCGGTGGCCGAATATTCGGTGCATCCCTATTAATAATACATTTTAATTCATTTTTTAATAATATATTGTAGTGCCGTGAAAAGAGAGTCTGAGGCGGTGTATTAAGAATGGAGTTCCAATCTTTATTATCCATTACTTTCAGAGAGGTTAACACATGCACTGCTCTGCCTGATGAGCTAGCAGGAATGGCAGCTAAAGCTACAGGTGTTCCCCACTAAAGGGTCCGTGTGGCAACACAATAAGCAAGGTGAATTATGTCCAATAACGTGTCACCACACAAGCCCCCCCAGAATTCACACATAAACAAAATCAGCATGGCGGGGAGGAACGACACGCCGACCCCCACGACTCCTGAGCACGGGAGTCGGAAAAGTGACTCCCGCCTGTGCGGCCCCCGGAAGGGGAGGGACCGGAACAACAGGTCTTAAATCCGTGACAGGGGACGAGGCCGGGGGGGCGGCCCCGTCGCGGAGGTCGAGCCAGCACCACAGGCTGGTCCAAGTCCAGGTGAGCAGCCTTCACCCGGTCCACCGAGACGTGCTCGGCCTTGCCACCCAGGTCGACCACCAGGTGCTTGTCCCCGTGCTCCAAGACCCGGAAAGGCCCATCATAAGGGGGCTGCAGGGGGCCTCTGTGCGCATCGTGCCGGATGAACACGTGCTCCGCCGAGTGGAGCTCTGCGGGAACCTGGGACACCTGAGTACCGTGCTGAGTAGTAGGGATCGGAGCAAAGGCCTCCGCGGCGTCACGCAGGAAAGCCCGCTGGGCCGACGCCGACCAGGGAGCCGATGCATTTGGGAGGAAATCCTCAGGCCCAGCATCACCCAGGGCAGCTTGTCGACCCAGTTACCGTCCGTAAGGCCGGCCTTGAGGGCCGCCTTCATGGAGCGATGAAAGCGCTCGCAGAGGCCGTTAGCCTGAGGGTGGTAAGCGGTAGTCCTGTGCAGCTTAACCCCCAAACCGCCTGCCACAGCGTTCCAGAGCTCGGACGTGAACTGAGAGCCCCTGTCTGAGGAAATGTCTGACGGGGTCCAAAACGACACACCCACGTTGCAATGAAGGCCCGGGCAACGTCTGCGGCTGATGTCGAAACGAGCGGAACCGCCTCCGGCCAACGGGTCGTTCTGTCCACCATGGTGAGGAGGTAGGAAAACCCCTGAGAGGAAGGCAACGGACCAACCAGGTCAATGTTGACGTGATCAAACCTCCTCTCAGGCACCAGGAAACGCTCCAACGGGGCCTTCGTGTGGCGGTGCACCTTAGCGCGTTGACAAGCCACGCACTCCCTGGCCCAAGTCCTCACGTCCCTTTTCAGTCCTTGCCAAACGAACTTCGCCGCTACCAAACGCACCGAAGGTTTAACGCCGGGGTGTGACAGGCCGTGCACAGCCTCGAACACAGGACGCCTCCAGCTGGCAGGGACGACAGGCCGCGCCAGGCCCGTAGAGACGTCACACAGGAGAGTAATGCCCGCGTCGCCGAACACCACGTCCTCAAAGCGCAGCCCCGCGCTCTCCACCTTCAGGACCTGGACGCCGGGATCTGTGACCTGGTCTGCCGCCATGCGAGTATAGTCCAGGCCCAACTGGACGGCACCGATGACGACCCTGGAGAGGCAATCAGCAACCAGGTTCGACTTGCCAGCCACGTGCTTAATGTCCGTAGTGAACTCCGATATGTAGGACAGCTGCCGCTGCTGACGTGCCGACCAAGGCTCCGCCACTTTTGACATGGCGAAGGTGAGCGGCTTGTGGTCGACAAACGCCGTAAATTCACGGTCTTCCAGCATGAAACGGAAGTGCCGCACGGCCAAATAAAGTCCGAGGAGCTCCCGGTCAAAGGCGCTGTATATGCGTTCTCTAGGCGTCAGCTGGCGGCTGAAAAAGGCGAGCGGCTGCCAAGCGCCCTTCACCCACTGCTCGTGCACTGCGCCGACCGCGTAGTCTGACGCGTCCGTGGTGATGGAGATGGGAGCCGTAGATGATGGGTGTGCCAGCAAAGCCGCCTGAGCCAACGCGGTCTTGACCTCAGCAAAAGCGCCGTCCGCCTCTGCTGTCCAGTCGATCTCCGGGACGGGGGTCTTGCCTTTCAACGCTTCATACAGCGGCCGCATGATGTGTGCGGCCCGGGCGATGAAACGGTGGTAGAAAGTCACCATCCCCAGAAACTCACGGAGCGACCGGGCTGTGAGCGGGCGAGGAAACGCCGCAA